GAGCACGTTCCTGTGTCTGCTTTCACAGTAGAAGATCAAGAAAGACAGAATAAGATGAACAAAATGACAGATGGAAAATGCTCAAAAATGATACTTGGGGATGTGCAAAGGATTTGGAAAGATCTTTTAGACACTGTTCATTTTAGCTTTACTTTATTTTGGCAATTTATCCTAGCAAAGTTTCTGTAACATAGTAGGGTGCTCAATAGACACCTTTTTGAGTGAATGAACACTAGAACTGAAAGTTAAAGGGATCACTGGCTTTCCCCTTGTTATGTTATTTATTTTTCCTTTGAGGATATTCACATATGAATTTTAGGTCATTTTCTATTACTTTGGTGCTGCCAATCACTAATTGGGCAATGCCAATAATGAAGCATTTTTCTTGCCATCATAAAAGTTATTTTTGGCTGGGTGTCGTGGCTCATGCCTGTAATCACAGCACTTTCGGAGGCTGAGGTGGGCAGATCATGAGGTCAGGAGTTCGAGACCAGCCTGGCCAACGTGGTGAAACTCCGTCTCTACTAAAAATACAAAACTTAGTCGGGCGTGGTGGCACACGCCTGTAATCCTAGCTACTCAGGAGGCTGAGGCAGGAGAATTGCTTGAACCCGGGAGGCAGAGGTTGCAGTAAGCTGAGATTGCACCACTGCACTTGAGCCTAGGGGACACAGCAAGAGTCCGTCTCAGAAAAAAAAAAAAGTTACTTTTATTACAAATAGAATGGCAGAATATAAAAAGTAATCCTTACGTCTCTTCATATAGACCTTAAAAACTGCAACAGTTCATTCAGTATAGCAATTAATTTTTGCTCAAGAAATAAAAATCTTAATCTTATACATTTTAAAGACTGCGAAAGAAAAACAAAAAGTATAAAAGTTTATAATGTCCCTCCAAGGTTCACCAAAACAAATAAATAATAATGACCATCATGAAGGTTTATACATTACTTTAAGCAAATGCTTTTGACACTTTTAAGGAAAGTTTTTTCTCCCCAATTGTCCAATTGAGAAGTTTTTCTTCCCCCTGCAATTTCTGTACTCTGGTATCCATAGTCAAGACAGATGTTATCTATGAAAGGAAAAACTTGGCTCTAAGTTCTCTCAGTTGAGCTAGCCTTCTCTGATCAGTTTGGAAGTTCAACACTGGTTCTTTGCACACCCCTAAGTGATATGTATCAGGGAGAAAGTAGCTAGGGGACTGATCAGCAAAAAAGAAAAAAAGGAAAAGAAAGGATGCAAAATTACAATGATTTTTGAAAGAAAATAAAGGGGGAGAAGAAAGACAACATAAAAAGAATAGGGTATAATTAAATTCATTTTCTCTCTGAATACATATTTTTATCTTCATGCAGCTTTTCAACCAGCCATGCGCCGAAATAAGCAAATTGAAAGCTGCAAAAGCTGCAGCAGTGGAAGTGTTATGTGTTAGGCCGAAAGGCTGTGGGTGTGAATTTACTAGTAGAGCCAAAAGAAAAAAAAAGTATTCAGCAGCTGTTGTTCAGTTCTGGGGGGATTATCTGCTTAGTGCCATGACAAGAGCAAATTCTGATTGAGAAGCACAAGTCATAACAGCAGCTTTACCTCTGGCCCACCAACCTTTCTTTCCGAGGGAAGCATAGAAGTTTTCTTCACCTGGTCATACACAAATTATATAAAATTCAGTTGCCTTGCAATGCAACAACAATACCATCAAAGGTGGAAGAGGTATCCCCAGAGAACAGAAATAGTATCCCAATTGTTAAAGAAAAAGTAAGATATGCCAGAAAGTGGAATTACCCAATATTAAAGGTCACCATAATACAGTGCTTATTTATTCCACTATTCCTTTACAGGGATAATAGCATAGAGCTAAAATTGTTCAAGTACTCCCATGGATCTTGTTTAGTTTATAAAAAGTTATTTCTTTAAAGAACACAGAATGACATCACCATTCCCAAAACCAACCCTGAGAAGATTTCTGAAAGGTTTCTATTAAAAGACGTAAGAAAATTTCTGGAAACGGAGACCAATTCAAATTTACTCAACCTCATCCAAGAGAGTACCAAGTTACTTTTTCAAAGTAGTTGAGCATCTTTTATTACTTGCACAGAGTCAAAAAGAAAACTTTTAGAAAATACGCAGTTACAGTTTGCAGACTGGGCTAACCAGGTGAAACAGTGACAAGGCATTTTCTCATGGAGTCATAGACTTACAGAATTTTAGAGTTCACAGGGACCTTAAAGATCATCTACTCCATAAACTGAGGCCCAATATGATAAATTACTTGTTCAGAATTGTTCAGTTCGGTTTTGACTAGCCAGACCCTCTAAATCAAATCAAGCCACAACCAGAACTACTAGACCTTTTATGACTCTTATTAGTAGAGATACATAAAAATTAAGTATCCTACTGACACTGAAAACAGTGGTCTTGCCCAGAAAGCAGAGTTATTGTCTCAGTTCAGGATACATGCTCTAGATTTAGAACATAAAACTAATGTCCATTTATAGAAAATGGAGGCTGAGAGGACAGTAAGTAGCAAACAATAGCATCCTATCATCCCTGGTATCTCTATTTAGCTGCCCATTACTCAGGTATTCTCCAGCCTTATTTGTGAAACTGGTTCAGCTCTGTCTGGAGAAC